TTTTTTTTTGATCCGGCCTCGTAAACTCGCTCCTCGCTTTTGTTCAATTATAAAAAAAAAATAACCACTTTGATGAAGATTTGTAGCATCATTCAAGTAAATACAGATTAAGATCGTAGAAACATGAGCTTGTGATATAGCTACACCTAATTCCGGACCGGTTAATGCAAGAACTATAAATAAAGGACCAGGATCCCCTATGAAATAGAAAAGATCATTCATACATAGCATAGTCCAAGCGGACCCACTTAAAATCTTTACTAAACTATGACCGGCCATCATATTAGCAAATAAACGTATTCCTGAGCTTAATGCGCGAAAACAATGAGGGATTAGCTCAAGGAGTACTAAAAAAGGTGCTAACGGCAGTGGGACTCCTGCGGGTAATAAAAAGCTTAAAAAATGAAGCCCATTTCTTTGAAATCCCACTATAGTAATGCCAATAAAAATGGAAAATGAGAGACCCAAAGTAATGAGAAAATGACTTGTAACTGTGAAGCTATAAGGTATCATACCCTGGGGATTACGAAATAACGAAAAAGTAAAAGTGACCGAGATGCAAGGGAAAAACTTTTGTTTAACATTTCCGGAAAGACCGCCTATTTGTTCGTTTACCGGGTTCGGCACGAAATCATGAATAAGCTCTACCAAGGATTGCCAAGCATTTGGTACTAAGTTTCCTCCTCCGTTTTTAGTAACAAAATGAACCAAAAGTAGGACCAAACTGAGAGTTAGCAGCATAAACAAAGATGGATTTGTGAATGAGAAATACAAGTTTCCTATCTTCATAGGAATCAATGGGAGAATGGAAAATTGCTCAAGTGGGCTGTTGGGCGTAATCGTAAGAAACACTTTGAATTTCATCTCTATAGTTCCGCTTCTTGCTCTACTAAAAATGAAGAAAGACTTGTCCGAAATCGCCGGTTGGGTTTGTAAAACCAAGAAAGGCATGGGAGTCTTTGGGCATTGCTTGGGTCGAGTTAAGTCAAGACTGGTTACCTAGAAAGATCCCTCACTGCACACAAACTATATCTCTGTCCGGCTGCATGCTATCAGAGAAAGAACAATGGGAGGTTCAGTCAAAAGCATTTCCCGCGCACTCAATTCAATAATCAAGCAAATAAGCAAGACGAATCTCTTTTTCTTATTATAAGAAATTGATAGTTAGATGCGCGGATCACTCCTAAATGCAGCCGTGATCTTATTATACGATACCACCTGCCGCACCTCCGTACTCTGATTCAATTCCTGAAAACAGCTTATTCGAGAACATTGCTAGATTTTGAGTAGGGGAATCACTAATGTCCCTCCCTCTTTCGTCTCGCTTTTCGAATGGGCAATACAAGAAGATCTATAGTTGGAAACCTTTCCACTAGTTATCGAAAATGGTTGACATCTGCTCTTGTCTATGGTGCTCCCTTCTCCCCTCATTGATACGAAAAATTCTCCCTCGTGGTGAAGATGCCAGCCATTTGACCTATTCTGAGTTGGCCAAATCAAAAAATCCTACCCATACCACCTAATCCCGAGAAAGGGAAAGGCTTAGTTGAGACCTTGACGCCGACATGAAATCGATTTTCTTTGGCTGTCACTGAATTTATCCGGCAATTGATACCGAAAATCGGCCTTTTAAAAAGCATCCTTTGATCCAGCTTTCTCTGCTTTAGGGTAAATAACAGCAAAACTGTCCCATGCCACACGGGCAGAGAAATGAAATGGCAACTAGACTAGTTAGTAATTTCGTACTTCTGTCGTTGGGGAGCGGAAATGGCACTTTATAGCAAGAAGAAAGAACAACGAAGAAGATAGGCTTGTAGCCTCACCGGAATCAGATTCTGTAGCTGATACAACTGATGTTGCTTCATCTCCTTTCCCATCCGCCCGGGGAACCGAGTCTTCTTTATTGATTACTGAATTTTCTGCTGCAGAGGATACCACTTCTGTCACTGACTCAGTAGATGGACGAGACAACCTCTTTCACCGAGTCGGGTGCCGAAAAGTCTGCTATCGCTTAAGATAATAAGATAAATAGAGAACGGGCTTACCACTTCATCTGTTGTAGCTGAATTAAATGAATATACATAGGATGTGGAAAGTTAGCAAATAAGCTCCGTTACGGGAGAGTACTCTTTAGAAGACCCGTAGCTGGCCATAACTCGAACTGGGCATTCTATGCCTGAGGATTCTTTACTGACTCGTCTGATGTCTCCGGAGCGTCTTCCCTAAGCGTCTGGTGAAAAAAGGGTCTGCCGCCACTGAATCGGATGCTATTGCTCAATTGAATTGTGTAACCGAATCGGGTGTCTCCTTATCCATAAGCCCAGAGATCAGAGAGAATAGTAAGACATAAGCCTAGCCTAGAATGCCTAGGCAACAGAAAGAGAATGAATAGGAAGAGAAGACTAGAGAGGCTAGTAAGAAGAAGAAGAATTTTCCAGTTCGAGAATAGGGAGCAGAGAAAAAGAAGCCTTGTTGATGGAGATCCGTTCCTTTCCTATGA